GCGAAAAGAACAAAGCGAAAAGATAGGTTCAGAACAATCATGAGATTCTTACATTGTGCTGATAATACCAGTATAGATTCTTCAGATAAAATGTGGAAGCTAAGACCTCTGATAAATATGCTGAAACAAAAATTTTGCAATAACTATGTACCAAACCCAAATCTGAACTATGATGGATCTATGATCGAGTACTATGGCAGGCATAGATGTAAACAATTCTTGCGCGGAAAATCTATATGGTTTAATTAACTTAACATTTTGTAATGTTTAACCTTGTTTCCTAATAATGCTCTGTAATACTTACTTTTTATTTGAATAAAGCTTGATTTAAAAAGTATGAGTTTAATTTATTTTTGCTATTATATTAGGCTAGCAGTGCAATTTGGCATCACCTGATATTTCCAAAAGTATGATATGTATATTTTTTTAAACTTTGATTTTATGTTAAGGTTGTTATAAATTTTAAAATATTTAAGAATCACAAAAATCCAAGACATGACATAAATTCTGCCGTTAATGGGTTAACTTGCTTGAACTATCAATGGGTCTATAAAGTAAACCATTATATTATGTGGGATGTATTGTAATATAATCTTTAAAAAAAAATTATAAGCTAATAAGAGAAGAACAGGACCTGATTCATTTTAGATTCATGCCGAGCTGGGCAGCAGCATCTTACTAATAAAGTTAGTTAAATTTACAGCCTATATACGTCTCACTCCTAGGTCCACTCACTCACACAGGCCTCCGCTCACTTCACAGGGCGACGAATTGCCTGCCGCGCTGCCCCAATGCGGGTTGAACTGTGTGAACTTCGGATATGTTTAAAATATTTTTTTTAAATATGTAGGTTTCCTCACGATGGACCGTCAAGCATGTCGTACATCAGCACTTAAAATTTCAATTAACAATTTCATTGGTGCCGACGGGGATCAAACGCGGTTTGATCGCGTACTGTGAAATTTATAGTGAGCGCCAACCATCTGAGCTACCACGGCTCTTCCTAGTAACAAATATAAAATAAAAAAACTACTATGGCACTTATTTCATCCATCACAGATTAGATAATAGTTACTATGTAACCCCTATGAGAGAAGTTATGGTAGAGACTAGATACCTATATTCAGCAGTGGATTTTAATAGGCTGTAACGGTTTATAAATATTACAGCAAGCCACGCCGCTACCTACTGTGTCGCCGAAAGTGAAACTGCTGCTGGTGCTGATGGGGTTTTTGCTGTATGTGTACCTGATAATCTTTGTGAAGACCATGTACATGAAGGTCAAGAGGTTGGACCGCATAGCTGTCATGGTAAGCAGAGAAGCCAAAAGTATGTTGAATTGTGCAGTTGTGTGGTAGTGGGTCATTGGTTCAACAAACCAAATTTGATTTATTTAATAACCCAGTGTCAAATACCACAAAAACTTTATTTTTGCAACTAGTTTTTTTTTTAAATCAGTCTCATAGTTAATCTAGAGATTAGATATGAGATTGTGACTTTTAATTTCGTATTAGCACCTTTAAATTACCAATTATAACCTGATGGAATATAAAAGTGATATTTTATTTGCCCAACTGCAATTTTGAATTTGTTTATATTGTATTTTTTATATTATTTGGCCCTAAATCATGAACTGGGTATTGTCGCGCCACGAAAGATGAAATTAAAATAGAGTCCACTGCGCATGTACAATCAAGCAGAAAAGTGAAAATTTTATTATGGCATATATATGTAAAAAGTCAAAGGTCAACATTACAACTACACATCAAAGTCTCCATGAAAACGGAACGATATATCATCGTTAGGTTTTAACTGCTTCTAAATAATATTCTGCTAAATCTAAATAATATTCTGCTTCTAAATAATATTATGCTTAATATTTTATGTACTCTTGAACGAATTAACCACTGGACGCGACATAAAACATAAATGATGTATGAAAACTCGTTCAACCAAGTGGAGAATAACGCAACGCACACAATACAATGATTTTATTACGTTACTGTAAACACAGATACGAAATTCGTAGATGTTTACTCTATTTCTAGTGCTTGAACGTAGTCGATAAAATATATCGATGAACGACTGAGAAAGAAAAGTCATATCGTAAATAAGCTGTAAGACAAAGGAAATAAAGGGATAATGAAGGTGAGGTAAGCTTCCGGTATTTAAATTTTAATTAAAATAAAATAAGCAGGACATTTTTATGGACTTTTTATTCAATTAGTTATATTAAAAATATATAAATCATGAACTGGGTATTCTAAAAATGGTCACAGTTGATAGGTTGACTAACACACTGATAATCTACAGTTTTTAGGATTATTGTAATAAATAACTCCCACCGATATTATGGTGAACGACCTCTACCTCATGTCGTACCGTGGGTATCGTAAGAGGCGACAGAAGGAAACATAAGCACGAGATGGACAGCAACATCTTCCTCATAACGTCTCAAATTTATAAAAAACTGCGTTTGCCATCTCGCCTGCCAAATGTTGCAACAATTGCAAGTTTTCCCCTTTGAGGGTGTAATGAATGGATCGATGGATAAATAGATATCAGGGTGTTGCCACTTTCATAACAGAATCAGTCATAATTCTGCGGAATATAATTATGATGGAAACTAAGTTATTTTTAGCAGGCTAAAAATTACGAAAAAATCCTAAAACAATAAGAAAAGTATAAAAGTATCGATTATTTTATTATGAATGACAAAAATTCAGTTTTCATAAGGCGTACATTACACGCTCATGCAGGCTGTCAGTTTTAAAACAATCACGGTTGTGATTGACGAATAAACTACCGTGTAATGCAGTGATTGACGCCTGCACGAGCGCGTAATGTACGCCTATCAGTCACCATCTGTTTTGTATCACTCATGATTGATGGAATTGACTGACGCCTGCATGAGCGTGTAATGTACGCCAAACACTACATTACATGATCAGTGATGACGTATGCTTTAGGCTTGAGCGTGTAATGTAAGCCTTTGATTATTTTTATAGAATAAGGGTGACAAGGGACCACACATGACAATTATATCTATCATCGATTGAGAATAAAAATGAGATGCATTGTCACCCATGAGGACTAAGATGTAATACCTATAAGTTTTAGTTTTAGTTTTTATAGTTTCCATTAAAAGGGGTCTCCAATTTCTCTGCACTCACCATACAAAACACAGTATTATTGTGCTGTTTCACGCTATTATTATTTTGTGGGAGCATGGCCCTCCCCGGTTGAGCCGGTTCAACCATGTAAAAATTGTGTTTTGTTTTAAACTTTTTATGCCTAGATTAACGTTTACGTAGTAGTAGTTTAAGCCTTTTATAAAAGTGAAGTGTTTTTTTTTAAAGTGATGATGTGATGAATGAGCACATGTTTCACCTGATAGTAAGTGAATGTTGTGAAGCATAGACACCACCAATTATTCTTGATTAAGAACCAAATGCAAATAATTTGTCTTCCCGTGGGACTAAAGTGGAATCAGTAAAAAGAGTCTCTGTTTCTCGTCACTCGCCAAATGAAACACAGCATTAATGTTGCTATTTCACGCCGGTATTCTGTGCGGATGTGGAATATACATCCATATGACGTTGTAAGGTGGCTCTACCACGTACAAGATACTTACTTGCACTTAAGGCAGCAAAATTTTAAAAAAGTGTTGCCATCTACATTATTATCAAGTTAGTAGATATTTTAATAAATCCCCTCTCAAAACAAATTCACAAACAAACAAACAAACCCCTAGACATACATGAGAAAATCAAAAATAAACCAAAACTATTTATTGTTTAACAGGCAATGGAGACAGAGAATCTGATACATCAGGTGCACATTGTCGACCAGAACATGGCTATCAACATGGAGCGGCTTGAGGACGCCTATGGGGACTACTAAGCTACCTTTTGTCTCGCCCACACTGGCCTATGTAAATGTTTCACACCCCACCTTCCTGTCTATTCTATGTACTAGATGGCGTAAAATATACCAATTACATTTAGCTTTAATATGGATGTCTAAAACTTGAAAGAAAGGAATTGTCTAACAATGTTACCAGTCTGTAAGGTACTTAATACATCACAATAATTGTAAATTTTATCCTTCTTTATTTTTAAATTAAAAATGTAAATATTTGTGTAAATACTAACTTTGAGTGTATTGCTAAATGTGTCTTAAGTTTATGTTTTGTTTTGAATTACATATTTTAGAAAATTGTTATTTAATAAGTTCAAATCTTATTTGTTATAAAATTAGGCGTGCTACACACGTTCCGTAACGTATTCTGACTGCCTAATTGACCTAGTGGTCGTAAAAGCGACTGTACATGTAGTCCCGGTTTTGAATCTCGGGTCGGGCTAAATTAATTATGGAGTATTTCTGTCAAGTCTCACAAAATACCAACGTAAAATTGTAGCTTAACGCTGCTGTGTTTCGTATGGAGAGCCTATTTACTGGAAACGATGCATTCCATCTTAGTCCTCACGGGTGACAACGCATCTGCATTTTAATTCGTAATCAAGGATAGATGCAGATGTCTATGGGCCGCAGCAAACACCATCAGGTGGACTGTGTGCTTGTTTGTCACCCTATCCTATAAAAAAAGGATTCTCAGTATTAGCCCGGAGTCAGGAAGTTGGCGGTGTTTCATCATTCCTTGGAAAGCACATAAAGCCGTTGGTCCTGCGCCTGATCCCTCACCGGTCGTATCGGATTGCCGTCCCGTCGGACTTTGAGAGTGAGAGAATAGAGTGCAGTTACATTTGCGAACAACACACTTGCACAATAATCCTGTCCTGCGCAGATGGCTGGTGTACGTTGTGACCGGGCAGCCGTGACCGTAATTCGATTTGGAGTGCGTTATTTATTATTATCAATATGTCATCATTGAAAAAATTACTTGACGAAAATTTAATTTTTAATTTGCCACATTAATTGCATTTATCTGTGATCGAATCTCAAAGAGTATTAATTGAAAAAGTATTTTGTCATTTGTTATGTTTATCATTATGTAAGTTGTTTATTTTATATTGTGAATTGAAAGTTATAGTTTCTGGAATAAAAATTAGTTGAGCTGTAAATAAGTTTCCTTGTTATATAACCCTCGGTATTTCCGCCGTCTATATTATTACTAGTGGAGGTTTTTTTATATGAGGGGCAAACGAGCATGTGGCTCAACTGATGGTAAGTGACTATCTCCACCCATGAACAACTGCAAAACCAGGGGAATTGCAAATCGTTGCCGGCCTTTAAAAAAAGAGTAGGCTCTTTTCTTGATAGCCTCTAAGCCGTATCGGTCCGGAAAAATCACTGATGATAGTCGATTCCACAAGAAAGTTGTGTGAAGAAGAAAACTTCTTGTAAATCACACTGTGCTGGACCGCCAATCGTCTAGATCCGAGTAAATTCTTTTCCGTGGTAGACGTGACATGCGACATCGATTCGCAACGCCAGTGAGTCAAGCCGATCAGAAAGAGTCAGTTCGCCAATGATTCGAACTGCTCTGCGCTGAATGACATTATGATGACAGATGGGAACAGTATTCCATGTGAGGCAAAACCTGCGTTTTGTAAAATTGCAGGCGTTATGCTGGCATGAAATACTATCATGCATGACAGCATGAGAACCCACGGTCAGGAAGATGAGAGTAGCTTGGGCGTAAATATTCAGTGAGAGATTTTCTATTTCATTCCCACTATTTTTCATATTTATCATACGTTATCACTATTTTTATATAAATTTTCTGTTCAAAATCTATACGATTTAACCATAGAACCACAACGTGGGGTCATGGGTGACCCCACGTACAAGTATTTTTATTTTTATTTAGCGAGTTTTGCACCTACAACACTGTGCGTCTGGGTACCTTCCGAAATTGGTAAGCAGTGGCATTAGGTTCGGAGATATTACAGTTTGGGGTCGCCCGCAACCCGTGCTGTGGTTATAGAAACTTTTATTTTTGCGATTAACTGTGTGATTTCACGTTTATTGTACGAATAGTCTTTCAATATGGCCTCAACATCACGAGCCCTTGAGTAATGACATAGAGAAACTTTTGAAGGAATATGAAGGTGAAACCTCCAGTTCGTCGGGCGAAGATGGATCTGAAACTGCAGAAATTGAACATAGATCCGAAGACTTTGATGAAGATGGTTTGTTTGATGTTGAATCTGGATCCGATGATGATGTTCTTCTGCCTGATTTCTTTATGGACAAAAATGGTTATACTTGGAGAAGAACTCCGTTCACTGTTCCTAATACACGCACTGCAAGTAGAAACATCGTGATAAATCAACCTGGTCCTAAAGGTTTTGAACGCGACGCAAAAACCGAATCAGAAGCGTGAAAGCTATTTTTTCCAGACGAAATATTGGATATTGTTGTGATGCATACCAATGCACAAATTGACAGAATTTCTGAGACCATAAACAACCAGCGTTACACTTCTAAGAATGATAAAGTGGAGTTCATGGCTTTATTTGGATTAATGTATCGTAGTGCTTTATACAAAACAGCTAAAACAAACTTGTCCGAGTTATGGTCGATTGTGCATGGTACACCTATTTTCAGGGCCACAATGTCAAAGAACAGGTTTGAATTCTTGGTAAATTCCTTGCGGTTTGATGATCATGAGACATGTGAAGCAAGGAAAGTCAATGATAATTTTGCAGCGTGAAATATGAGACAAATTTCAAATACTATGCCGTGAGTACTACACTCCATCGGAATATGTAACAGTAGACGAACAAATACTTGATTTCCGTTGTCGCTGTAAATTTATTGTATATGCGCCACAAAAACCTGACATGAAAGTTGTAGTGATGTGTGATGCTTACATGCTATCTGCAATTCCATATGTAAGTAGAATGACAGAATGTCCTACAGGACGGTCGATCCCATCCTATTATGTTTTGAAGCTATCGCAACCTATTCATCATACAAACCGGAACATCACTGTAGATAACTGGTTCTCCTCAATTCAACTTCAACTTGCAAATGAGTTACGCAATATTGGACTAACAATTATAGATACGCTGCGAAAGAACAAATTCGAAATACCTCCAAAGTGTTTAGCAAAAAAAAAGATTTCCCTACTTCGGTATTTGCGTTTGATAAAAACGTCACATTAGTATCTCATGTCCCGAAGAAAAACAAATGTGTTGTGCTGATTTCTACAATGCACGACAGCGGTGAAATTGACCCTAATACACAAAAACCCGTAATAATACTGGATTATAACGCCACGAAAGGCGGCGTTGACACGTTTGACCAATTAAGTCATTCTAAGACAACAGCAAGAAAAACACGTAGGTGGCCGCTAAGATTTTTCTACGGCATGCTTGATGGTGGAGGTATAAATTCATATGTAATACTCAAGGCAAACATTCACAGCAGTAAACTGAAAAGAAATAACTTTCTAAGAAACCTAAGCCTTCAATTAGTACAGCGCTACGTGAAACGTCGCCTTAATGAGGTCAAAAATTTGCCCCAATCTCTTAAAGTGATAATGCTTCATGTTTTGGGAGTAGATAAAGAAAACAGTGCTCAGGTAGCCCAAGCTCGATCAACTTCAAGTTCACGCTGCTATTTATGCACTAGAGCCAAAGATAGGAAGGGCAGAGAGAAATGTGTTAAGTGTTCCAAAAATATATGTGCACAACATAGGTTATTTCCAATGTTTTTATTTATTACCAATGTATTATTGTAGATTTTAAGATTTTTCCTACATATTTTTTTCCTTTAGCATTCCAGTAATATCCAAAAAAACTTGTAATAATTGTAAAGTAAATTAATTGTTTATTAAAGTTTGTAATTTCGTAAGTAATCATTTTTTTATTTGGGGTCAACCGTGACCCATGTTGTGGTTCATGTAACTAAATTTGGATGTTGTAGTTGTAGGGATAAAAATATTACTAAAATCAACTCCGTAAACGTTCGGTTTGCGGAGTTGATTTTAATTAAAATTGTAAGTATATCATATTGACTTCGATGCTAAATAAAAAAAATCGTCATACAATAGTCAATAGTCTACTTTAATTATTATTAAAATACAATATTATGTATCTTTAAAATTAAAGATTTGCTATACAAGCAAAAAATATAAATGACTCATAAGGTAACAAAGACAACAGTTACTTTTTAAAATATACGTATCAGGTTTTAACTTATTCTAATACCGGCTCTACAATGAGCAATGACCGTTCAAACTTCCTTTGGGTCAGGTTGAATGCATCCATCCGTCCGACCTTCGACCACAGAATAAATAATAGTACTATAGTTCATAAAGGATAGCTTGATCTCTGCGACAGCTGTCAGTAAAATCACGCCTATGAAGTCCTGAATTTCTTAGTAGAACAACACTTAATGAGCATGCCGACCTAATTAGTGCATGCCCGTAAAGTATGACATTGACAGGTACTGTGTGTCTGTACTCCTAAGAAATTCAGACCGCAGAGATCAAGGTATCTTTTATGAACTATAGGTAGATACGTATCTCGACGATTGAGATGAAATGATTCGTCCGATTTAGGGCAATATTTGAAATCGTAAAAAATCATATTTTCGAAGCCAATCCATTTTTCATTGAAACATTAATTTTTACCTTAGTGGTTTGCTCTTTAACTTTTTACACATTTTAGCAATCTTTTTAATTTTTCTACTTTTATGTATCTTTTGTATTTATTTATTTTTAACCTAATTAATACAAAATATAACTAATAGTACAGAAAGAAACATTAACTTCCTCACTATGAAATTTGTCAAAAATATTACATCTCATTATTATGTGGCGCCCCCTGGTGGCAGAAAAGTCGTCGATGCCCTCATTAGCTCGTCAACTCAACAATATGTAGGGAAATTAGAAATTGGAACATTATTTTTATTTGTAAATAGTCTTATTTCCAAAAATAAATTAAAATGCTCGGTGTTTTATTTTGCAAAAAAAAATTCTTTTTTTTTACGAAAAGTTCTGTGTGGCCCGTCGTTATAATTGTTTTATTTCGATGCTTATTTAGCAACTCCATTTCATTCCTTTATATTTTGCTTCGTCTATACGGAGAACGTGTTAGGACTAGTAGTGCAGATGGAATAGAATGGAATAAAACGGAGAGATTATTTTCTTTTTTTTAGGTTCTGTTGATATATTTAAATAGGAAGGAGCGGAAGGTTGGACGGTTGTGTATTGCCAGCGTTTGAGATATGAATTATAGCATAAAGAGAACTAGCTCTTGGACTTAGAAAACAAGAAAATTATTATAACAACAATTGAGTATGTATTATTTTATAACTGAAATATGCAAGGGCATATTTATTTTAATGAAATATAGTTGCTAACGTCTTCAAGTAAAAATCTCAGTATGTAATATAATCTAAATGTTATGACAAATTCATCTTACTTACTAGTGATTTGAAAATATTATGTGCCTTATGATAGAATATTGTTTCACTATAAGTAATGGCCTTTAGCGCTGAAATACCACAATTGTAGGGATACATTTTTGTATACACATAGACGTCACTCCTATTATTTCGTTAAATATTAACATTTTGGTTTCACAGATTTTTAGTAAAAAATATTATGTTTAATACATGAAATGCAATATTCTATTAATTAAAAATACAAAAATGTCTGCACTTATTTTTCTTATTTCTTATTTTACAATTTGCGAACGATGAGGTTTTAAGTAATTGTTGCATATTATGACTACGATAATGAAAACGCAAAAAAGTTTTTCACCATTTTATTCTATACTCACCTAAATACTGTATACATGTCGCAGTCAACTAGCTTAATTATAACTTTCAGTTAACAGCCTAGACGTCACATGGCGTGGTCACCCTATTAAATTTCATACAACAAGACGGTCGCTGACCTGTGCCTAATTAGCGCCGTGTGCTATATTATAAAAAAATGTACGCGGCATTAGGGTGGCCCAAGGACCACCCCAGCCGTACCTTAACCTACGGTCACTGATTATATTACAAGATAGGTGCAATGTTATAGACGCTACGATCGATATCATTTAGGCAGCTAGTTGAACGGCGCCGTTTAGTAAAAAGGCTAGGCTATTAACTAAAAGGCTAATTAAGCTAGTTGTCTGCGACATTCACATAATAATTTTAATACTTGTTTATTGTCCACGTGGCAAGATGATAGAGATGCGACACAGCTGTGGTAAATTAACATAAGACAGTTTTTTTAATAGAAAATATAAATGTAGAAAAATTGAAGATATTAATATAGACTAGATAACTAAAGAGTCTTACTAAAGAACTTGTGCTTTTACAATGCATGTATTTAATAGTATTTAATACATACATGTATTATTAAACAATATGAACGAACGAAAAATATTTACAATATGTTAATAAGCTCAAATCCCAAAGTGATCCTATTACATTTCGATTATGAGTAGTCACTCTTAAACCACAGTCACAAATCACTGCGATTGAGATAAGAGGATATCCAGGAGGTTTAATCCATACAAACGTATTCTTGTTTTCTCCCTGGATGACGTAAGTAGAGCAAATATTAATTACGATACAATCTATATCTGCCATTGCTGTGTTTCCATGTAGGTATGTTTTTTTAAAATTTCATAAAATTATTCTTATAATACTTGCAACCTAAAATCATTGAAATTAGGTAGGTACAATACAAATGCTTGTAAAAATTGTCAAATTATAACGTTGTGATGTTGTGTAGTACCACCAACTTTACTTTTCAGTTGACAGTCGCTAGTGAGAGCTTGCTTAAGAAAATTACCGAGGAAATAGGAGAATACAACCATATATATATATATGTAGGAAGATAATTATTATTGTAAGGTTGATTATGGAAAAGCTTTACTCTCTCACTTTTGATGTAGGAAGGTAGTTACTAATAATTTATAATGTAGGGTTATTACGTAAAAGGCTTTTAGAATAGAATAGAATAATTTTTATTCAATATAGTATATATGTACTATGACCACCGGTTCGAAGGACACCTCTGTCCTGGGAAGAACCATCAAGAAACCCGGCGAAACATTTCTTTTAAATAGAATTAATTTACAATTTATTACTTTTATTGTAAATTAATTATCTAATAATTTTATTATAAATTGTCATGAGACTAATTTAATAGCTGCGAAAAATAATTAATTAGTTTTCACGAATTAATTATCCAGAGTCGAGAATGAGCTGGTAGCGGGATACAACAAGTGAACCGTGCCACGCCAGAGCCAAGACTGCCTTAACGGCGGCCGCTCCGTCCGTTTTATACAATCGAGACAAGTAGCTACACGAGCGCCACTACAGCTGCAACGCGCAGGTGTGCGGTGCACGTGTTGTTTACAATAATTCCGA